AGCCAAGAAATCGCCCATGCGCACTGGCCTTTAGTCTGCTTTTCATGACAAACAATCTTAAAGATAAGAGACTTTTGTACCATATAAAACGTCATGATATACTACACCCCATAACCCTAAATCAAACCACATCTATGATTATATAGCCTGCATACTACTATGACAAGTTGGATTTAACGTCCATTGGACACGTACTTGCGCGTATAGTTGGACTATCTTAAAATACTTATCGATCATGCAAAGCGTAATGATAGTATAAATATATCTAGTCATAGTACAAACAGGTTTACAATACAAATTGTTATTTATTGGCTTTAAAATATGACGCCAAGATACACTTGTGGGTGCTTTCATTAAAGGGCGTATGGCCCAGTTCTTTGGCACCTTAAAATAGACGAAATTCGGCCTCGAAGCACATATTAATGTATTTTGAATGTATATAATATGATTCATATTCCATTTTTTAACTATTTATTGTAATTTCTAATCAATAAGCTTCGCTGAAATAAGCGAACAGTTCAAATTGAACGACAGTCGTTTATTACAGTCCAATCTACACGTTTTTTTTATCATCATTTTGTGGGTTGTGAATCAGGCATTTACTTCCGTATTGTCTTGTAGAATATGTTTTCTTTCTTCATTACAAATGCCGCTCGAAACCATAGAATACAGGACACGTGTAGTGGTTATAAATTGTTCATCGTGTCGTAAATATTGGACATTAGGATCCCGTATTTTCACGACAAGATATGATATGAACACCAATATAGATTGAAATGGACCAATATTAAATTCTAATTGGTGTTTTCAATTTAGAATGTTGTGAAAAATACTGAGTTAGAAGTTTTGCTCCTTTAAATCATCTATGATATCGCCATGTGTGAATCCGGACTTTGGACATGCATGTTAATTCCGGAAGAACCACTTTGCAAACCTTGGCAATTGGAATTCGATGAAATATTCGGTGAGTCTGGTTATGTTTTGAGTGACATGTATACACGCTTTAATCAATGCACCTTTTCCTAATATTTACTCAGTTGTTCAAACTAAAACTTTACATTGAACAGTACACCGGGTGTTAAGCTGTGAAGCTATTTTTGCAATCCGGCGTTTTCGTTCATTGGTTGTGATTAGTGATTCATTCGGGCCGTTTAGTGTATACTACTTTGTATCCTTGACTATTGCCCCATTGTGAGTCTATTTTAATATTCATGTTTTTTTTTTATTCTGAAGTTAAAAGTATAAGTATTTCAAGATAATAACGGATTGAAATGATTGTTTTATTCAATTATTGCATTTAACAAACGTGTAAAACTAAAAGCTTTCAACTATGAGTGGTATATGTTCCATGCTACCTACAATATAAATGAAATGAAATGGGGTTTAACGTCCTACTGTTCTGCTCCTAACCTGGGCTAATGAAGACGGGCATATGCCATACAGTGTGCTATGAGGGAAATTTTGCCCGGGCAACGGCGCTACGGCCTACTCTTATATCGAATTCCAACTGCCAATAGATCTTTTACGTGCACGCCAATGCGTACACGGGACCTCGGTTTTTCGTCCCATCCAAACGACTAGACAGCTGTCCTTGTCAGGCCCTCCATCCTGCATCACTGACAAGGGGAAACCACGCCGGAAAATCTGAATGAACCATCTCGGCCAATGTAGGGATCGAACACCCTACAATATAAAAGTTGACTTTTAAACAAAACCTATCGATAATCCGTTACATATATATTCATTCCATGATAACTGGTAGATCTGAAAGGTAACAGTAACGGGCAATTTGAACGATGTCTATAGCTTCCGTCATGTGCACGACAGAAACAACTTCAACTTCTGGAAAATGTAAACTAGGCTATAGTTAGAATATAATTGTTATTTCGCGCACAAGAAGCCAGACAGATCTTTACGCTATGGGAGCAAAAAACAAAACCCCAAATCGAAGCTGGCATAGAAGTGTCCATTAAATTATTAAGAAGACCATTGCATTCTCGCCGTTTAGCACATTTATAATTTATATCGGAGTTGTTCGATGCATGCAAAATGGGATTTTTATTTCTGTATGTTTAGCCATGGACTAATGATGTAATAGCCAAGGTCTAGTTGTATTTTCTCGCCTAAGATTAGGAACAAAATTGTTTGAAGTATTAAACCTGTGGATAGAGATAATTATTGTTTGTGGTTTTAAGTTAGTTTATTAAAAATTTTATTGAAACCTGGTCTGCGATAATCTGATCAGATAGTCGTAAAACCTAATCAATAACTAGAATAGAATAGAACAGTGTGTTTGCGATTTTTCGTATATATCCATAGTCAAATACCGATTTTACTAAATTTGGTGTGTTGATATAAATGATTTTGTGTTTGACAGTCGACAGTTTTAGGTAAAAAAAACCCCAACAAAACCCAATAATAGTAGACAGAACGAATTGTTGTTAATAATTTAATTTTAGATCTTTTCACATTTCAAAGATGTTGGTTTCCTTTAAATATAGTTGACGTATATATCTTCCCTAGTGACTGGTTTGAATTATTTACATATAGATATCGATTAGGATTACCTGGAACGACAAACACAAGAAGTGCATGTAAACATCTTCAAGAATTGATAAGATAAAGTCATAAAGATTATACTAGTAAATGAAGTGTCCGATAAACTATACATCCGTCAAACTCATCCGTCTACAAAAAATAAGGGAACAAAGACACTAATAAGCGGTTATCATGAAAGATAGGGCTCATCTTCGCATTGTCCCACATCGAATTTGAATGAAATTTGTTAACAACACTAATAGACCAGGAGCCCGGGGGGTTCAACCTATAAGCTTAAAAGCTAACCAATTTCTATATGCGTCACTAGGTTCCCTATTGGTCACTGTCACAGGATATGAACGTCTGCCGCACCCGTTGTGGTGGGTGTGGTCCAGAGGGGCAAAAAATAGGATCCAAAAACTAAGCTAGACTAGGTCGTTTATTAACCACGTAAAACTTGTTGCAAAATAAAGCATATCAAAATGTATTGAGAATGCCCACTGCCAAACATTTTAGGCGGTGGGGCGTGTCCGCCAGACTAAAAAAACAGGTAGCCAAAACCTAAGCTAGACTAGCTTATTTACTAACCACATGAAACTTGTTGCCACAGGATGTTCGGAAATAGGGGTTCGTTCTGGTATGATCCCAGAACTTTACACCAAATTGGAAAATAAATATGTTAAAAACTGTAACCCATGTCACTTTCAAAAGGTATTCGTCAAAGAGGAGGAGATGGGGTAACTCCGGAACAGAACGTCGTCGAATGCTGAATCCCGATAGTGTCTATCTTTGAAGGACGGGTCAACTACATTGACCACAACCTTTATTACGCATTTTGTGTAAAGAAAAAAAGCAGAGGCCATAACCGACACACCAAAACTGAACTTATAACCCAAGAAGTTGCTGTCTGATGTGCACCAAAATGAGACTCGTTCGAGATCGTTGGATCCTTAGTATATGATTTCAGTTTGGTCAAAATCGGACAAACATTGTGGCCTGTATAGGGTCTACAACATTGGCGTGTGTATTGCATGCTTTTCCATCGTTTCTGTAAAAGGGGGGGGGGGGGGTCATTGACACCAACATTAATCAAAATCTAATTTAAAATGTGATTTCTAGAGAGTCCACAATCTGTTTACGTATAATTTTCGTACTTTTAGGGGAAGTTATTTTTGCCAAAATCGAACCCATCCCGATATCTTTGCAATATTAACATACTGTTTGAAGTTTCATCAAAATCAATAATAAAGTGTGACATCTAGAGGGTCCACAAACTAAGTGGGTGATTTTCGTGCAATCAGATAGGCAATACTCCCGGAAGTTAGGTCCTTTATGACTGTGCCAAAATCGAACCCATCCTAGATCTTTGGGATATAAACATACTAGAAGAATGTCCGGCTTCGCTCGGGGGTCATAACCCCGAAACCGGAAGTGGTAGACTAACGCCACCTGGCCTATGTTACTCCCCGGTCCGAGCTACCCCTATACCCCAAATTTCAGACTCGGGGCAGACCTAGTGTAGCCGCCAACCCCGAACACACAGACAGAAAGACAAACAGACAGACAAACGACAGTCACAAATATGTATTGTTTAATGGTCGAGAGCGAGACATTAAGTAATATATTGTAACAACATGAGGGCCGTGAGGCCCGAATGTTTTTACAATATATTACGCAATGTCTTAAGCTCGAGACCATTAAACAACTTAAAATACAGACACTTGCACGTGCTTTGCAATGAAATACGTCACTCGAGTTCAATATTTTACCAAGTTACGCTTGGCACATTGCCCGTACGATTATTTGAAATAATGGTACTCCAACATCAAAGGATGACGTCACATCTGTATTTTAATAGTACACTGAAAAAAAACTTGTGTTGAATCAACACAAACTTGTGTTGTTTTCAACACAAGTTAGGTGTCTCTATTTACAATATATTACGCAATGTCTTAAGCTCGAGACCATTAAACAACTTAAAATACAGACACTTGCACGTGCTTTGCAATGAAATACGTCACTCGAGTTCAATATTTTACCAAGTTACGCTTGGCACATTGCCCGTACGATTATTTGAAATAATGGTACTCCAACATCAAAGGATGACGTCACATCTGTATTTTAATAGTACACTGAAAAAAAACTTGTGTTGAATCAACACAAACTTGTGTTGTTTTCAACACAAGTTAGGTGTCTCTATTTAACAACAAACTTGTGTTAAATGTTGAAACAACACAAGACTTGTGTTAAAATTTACCAAACGATACAAATTTGTGTTGAAACTTGTGTGAAAATCTACACAATACTTGTGTTGAAACTTGTGTTGAAATTTCTGAAACTTGTGTTGAAATTTCTGAAACTTGTGTTGAAATTTCTGAAACTTGTGTGGTTTCATAAAAACTTGTGTATAACCACCACCAAAACTTGTGTTTTATGTTCCCTTAATTTAGCAATCTTTCCCATGCAGCCCCCACCCCTTTTGCTCTGTTTAACCTGTAAAGTTTGATAAATGAGGTAACAATAATTTTATTTGTTAAATTATCATTTATTCATAAAATGATAGGAAAAAGTAAATTAACACCACCAAATCAAAACTAAATAGACATCATTTGAAATGTTAACAGAAAAACAGAGATATAATTCTAATACTAATAAAAATTTTGTTATACTTTGCTCCCCCCCCCCCCACATCACAAAATACAAAGTAGCTATTTAATTTTTTCTTTACCCGAAAACAAGAACTGAGAAAAGAAAGATCCCTACCCCATACCCCAAAAATATATAATTCAAATATATCTAAATTTAATAACATCCAAACCAAGCCCTAATTAGATTAATTATGCACTAAATTGAAATACTTTCAGAAACTGAAAAGTGCTACAAAGTCATATTACAAGTGATTTGAGAGGCATCTAGAAATAACTAGCATACACAGAAAACTAACAAAAGAAAAATGCACTATTTTGCAGGAGTAATAAAATGATGTAGAACCTTTTCCTCATTAAAAAAACAACAAACAAAATGAATATTTTGTACATAAAAGGAGCAAAGCATCAAGATTACAGAATTGAAAAATAAAAAAATATCAGAGAAAATCGCAAACATTAAATAATATGTACAAAATATATATAAATAATCACAAGTCAAAAGCAAGGAGGAGTCACTGTGGTTCAGTGAGTATAAGGCATTGGCCGAGAAATTTCAATTGGATTTTCCGACATAGTTCCCACACGTCAGTAGTGTAGGACATGGCAAGGGATAATTGGGTATAAGCCCGGAATTGAAACTACCCCCACTGCGTTTACTTTAAAGAACCCTTGACAATTGAATTATCTGACTCAGTGACAGACCTTCTGATCCAATGTGCGTGTGTTAACCATTCGGCCCTCCTGGGTTCCCTTTAAACAACCCTTGACAGTTGAAATATTTGATATAAGAGTAGGTTGTAGGGCAGAATCACCATATTAACACAGAAAAGTAGGATCTTAAACCCTATTTCATTTCATAAGCAAGGGAAAGTCACCTTAATGTAGGTCAAGGTTTTTTGTAATTCTGGGTATATTTGATCTACATTTGGTTTCTAGATTATGCCTATTAAATACTTTATGATTTCCGACCAAATTCTAAGTGATTAATATGTCACTTTACATTCTATATTATACATAAATTTCTGTAGAGAATTAAAATCTAATTGTGTTTGGGAAGAATATTTAACAGTAAAAACAAAAAATAAATATTCAAAAATTGGGTCAAATGCATTCTTTTCCAGAATTTTAAAATAAATTGATGCTTGGGATCTCTTGTTGTTATCATACATCAAATAATCTTCCAGCCTAAAAAATAAAAAGTAGGCAATAAGAATACTTTCTTACTATTTATGGTTCACAATGTTTAAATAAACAATTTATTTTGCCACATCGAGACTGAGTCTCTATTTTGTTTCATCTTTGGGTAACACTTATTGTGTCTTGTCCAGTAACAGACCCAGGCAGATTATTATATTTTATTTCCATCGACAACAAATTGGATATTACCTATTAAAATCTATTTGAAAAGTAAAATATTGTCCATCAATTTTATACTGCTATTTACTGTAAAAATACACATAGGGTCTATCACAACTTGAAGAAAATCAATGGATGTGATTGTCAAAAATCAAGAATGCCAAGACTTGAATAGGAGAGTCCTAGGTATTTCCCCAAGAAGAATAACTAGATTACCAATCAAGTGTATAGAACTAGTTGATGATTAAAAATACAAATATGTATGTTACTTACATTTTACCTGATTATCAAGCTCTGTGAGAAAAAGTTTCCATAATATGAATAGCCATTTTCAACTGTCTTGATCTTTCTGATGTAGTTAACGGAGAAAAAAAAACATACTATGTATTAGTTGACTTAAATCGACTCGACAGTTAAAAGATGAAAGTTTTAATTTAATTACATTGCATTGTAATGTGTTGGTTTGCTTTGTCACAGATGAGACAAAATGAAAAAAATGAAATGGAATGGGGTTCGGCGTCCTACTGTTCAGCTCCGACTGGGCTAATGAGGTTGGGCATATGCCATACAGTGTGCTATGAGAGAAATTTTGCCGGGTACCGTGACCCTAAGGCCTACTCTTGTATCAAATTCTAACTGCCAGGGGCTATTTTTCATGCACGCCAATGTGTACACGGGACCACGTTTTTTGTTCAATCTGAACGACTAGACAGCTGTCCTTGTAAGGCCCTCCGTTCTGCATTGTCTTACTGCAAACCCGCGACCTTAAAATATGCGAACCAGTGTCTAACCCGCTTGGTCACCGTAGGTCCCCACAGATGAGATAGTCATATCTACATGTATCTGGACATAAGTAAGATTCTGTCTGTGCACATACATGTACTTCACAGTTTTACTATACTAAACTGAATTTTAAATTTCAAAATATTAAAATGAAATTAAGGTTTATGTCACATCAGCTCCAACCGGGCTATATTGTGCCAAACACATTATGGTGAGATTCTAAAATACCACAACAACAATCTTTTCTATTAGAATTGAACACTCACCCTCAAAAAACAACTATGAGAAATCATAGGTGCTCAAATCACCATTTCTTCAGCTCTTTTTTCCCATATTTGGGTTTTTTGACTTATTTTATTATATGATCTTTGATTTGCTATGGCATCTAATATGGAAACTGAAAAATATAAATATGTGACATGTAATTAACTGTTTAAGATACCTTACCATATACAAACTGTGTGATATCTAAAACCATTTGAATCCCGAAGATCTTACCGAAGCCGTGGAAATCTGTTTTAATAACCCTTGTTTGTCATGTGACTGGACTGTCACAGTAATTAGAAGAGAGCCATGTGGCTTAGTGTGTAAGGCACTGGCTTGCTACCCGGGAGGTTGCAGGTTTGCTCCCAGTGTTGACCGAGAAAGCTCATTTGGATTTTTCAGCATGGATTCCCTGTCTAGTCGTCATGGTGGCTAAGTGGGAAAGACGTTGGCTCGCTAGCCTGGAGGTCGGGTGTTCGATCCCTGCATTGGCCGAGAAAGTTCACCCAGATTTTCCGGCGTGGTTCCCCCTTGTCAGTGATGCAGGATGGAGGGCCTGACAAGGACAGTTGTCTAGTCATTCGGATGATACGAAAAAACGAGGTCCCGTGTACACGTTGGCGTCCACGTAAAAGATCCCTTGACAGTTGGAATTCGATACACCGCATTGCCGCTGTCCGGGCAAAATTTCCCTCATAGCACACTGTGTGGTGTATGCCTGTCTTCATTAGCCCAGTTCGGAGCAAAATAGTAGGACGTTAAACCCCATTTCATTTCTAGTCGTTTCAATGGAACACAAAACCTGAGGTCCAATTGGCGTGCATTTAAGCCGATAGTATGGTAGTTGGAATTTGTTGGCTGTAGCACCCGTGTCACAGTTCGACTGCTAGTTTGTGATACCCACTCGATATAAATGAGTGGTGATTGGTTAATGAATTCTAAAATCAGACGAATGCTTCGGCGAAGCGGACAGCCGGACACACCACTCAAATACAATTCGACCAAATATATTAAACATGTTTGATTCGGGCGTATGTCAGTGGATAAACTAGGTGAAGTTTAGCGCCAATTGATTCAGCCGAATCCTTTGGCTAGTTTATCCAGCACTGACGATTTAAGTTTGTACTTTCTTTATATGCAAATATCACATTTGAAAGAGGCTGTAGGCCTACTTTCTTTATATGCAAATATCTTATTTGAAATAGGCAATTATTATGTGATTCCCCACTTGAATGTGACTAGGAATAAGGTCGCCTGTCCAGCCTTGTGGGTTTTCTCCGGGTCCTCCGGTTTCCTCCCTTTGCTAAATACCCCTAGGGTGTATTCGAAACAGTGTTCCGGTGCAGAGAACGGACGGAGAATGGGTTCTTGTCGGACTTGAGCAGTCTGGAATGCGTTCACGAACACGTTCCCGTTCTCAAATCCCACACTACCTCATAGCTGGTGTGAGGGAGAACAAACATGGTCGACGCATCGATAACTGCTGAGAAAACAGCATCATGGGTGCATTTATTAATTTAAAAGTTTAATACCGTTCGAAAATTGGATGTAGTATGTGGCCAGTATAACATCAAATAAGTTAGGTTGCCAGGCAACGAAACATATGCCCACAGCAGTTTAATCGTTTGCTCAGTCAACAGGGATTGTCGCATATTCATTCTTTTGTAGGTAATGTGGGCATTTACAAGAAAAGATTATAATTTTTGTCGTATGTGGGTTTACAAAGGTTCTACAAACTGAAACAAGGGCCTTAATTGTTGAAATTTGACAGATTTTTTTGTTTTGTGTTTTACTAATTTAAATAATGCATACAAATCGGATGATAATTTTGTTGTTCGCGCGTTCACAAGGTTCGAAAAAGTGAAACAAGGGCCAGAACTCTAGACATAATTCACGGAAATCGCAGAAATTTAATAGACGTCTTCGTTTTACTAATTTAAAAGATGCAAATGAATTTCACAAAGTGAAACAAGGGCCATAACTCCAGAAGAAACTAACGGAAATTATTGAAATTAAATAGGATTCATCTCATTAAAATAAACAACATATCAATTTCAAAATAATCAGGTCTGTAGACGACGGACAAACCTACGGACGAGGGCGATGACAATATGCGACCACATTTCCATGTGGGCGTATCAAAAGGTGATGTAATCGTCATCCAAAGAATTGAAAAGGAGTAAAACGGAGTCATAATTTATCATAAGTATGCTTAATAGCGAAGTCAATACCAAACAAGTTATCGTAACAGATTGTATAAATTTAATTCATCTTGTTACCATGGATACCGTTCTCTCATGTTCGAGACTCATGAAAGTGTTTTCATGTTCTTCAGCCGTTCTCGAACCTGCGCGAACACTGTTTCTAATACACTCCTACGGTACGCGCAAGCAAATCATTCAAATAAAATTGAACAATATTAGCCTCAAAATTACCTAGCGCCAGTAAGTATAAAGGATCTATCCGACAAACACTAACAACAACTCTAGGTTTATGCAGAATTAATATAACACAACATACACAGATGGCAATAGAATGAGACAGTGTTCAGGAAAAGGGCGGAAACGGAAGAAAAAAACCCGTCCTACTTGATTCTAGGACATAAAGCATGGGCCTACTTGATTCGACCAATTTAATACAAGGAAATGAATGGCATAGTTTGTGTCAAGTGAATTTAGTGAATTTTAAACCCCATTTACTCGCCCTCTCTCTACAGAGATAAATACTTTTCCTGTTACATACAATAACAATTATTGGCCATTATTTAAAAAATATATTAAAAGGAAATGAAATTCTGTTACCTGTTTTTCTTTGTGTAGTACATGCTAACATCAATCACTGGAAAAAAAATAACGAAACTGTAGAGAAACTTCTGAATCATTGAAAGTCTAATTATTAGGCCTACACATTGATGACATTGATATAAAAAAAGGCTGATTTGTTTGTTGTTGTTTTTTTCTTTTACAGAAATATTAAGATTACATTTCAAATAAACAACTAACACAAAAGTTAGTATCTAGCTATAGTCCATGTCTGGATATACATTTCTCCTTTTTTTTTGGCCCGAACGTCTATAAAAATCAAAGATGGCGGCCAATAATTGCAACCGGGCATTACTATAAAATCAAGACAGATTCTTACCTGCTGGTCCTAGTCGGGGGTTTCTTGCAATTATAAGTATTTGAACAACGGTGTAGCGCCGATTAGCTAATAATAATTAAGCACGATTTCAGAAAAATTAAGACAGAATCATTAGATTGCTGAATTAGCGGAACACTTTTAGAACACATCAAAAAAAAAATTCTTTGTGGCGCCATTATATAAATAGAATTCCGGTGCAGTCAGTGGCAGTGGTTCTAAATCTGACTGTTTTAAACGAAACGAATTATTATATACATAGAAGCAATATATACATGCTAAATTAAATACACGGTTTTATTTTTTGTAAAAATTCATAAATTTGAAATAAATTCAAATTTTATGAATATACTTACCTGACAAATACGTATAGAATATCTATTCTCGCTTGTCACACAAATACCGGAAGTAGCGCAGTCATGCGCACTCATAACTTCCTTTACCTGAGTGGGTGCGCAAACACCCATCACTTCATCGAGGCGCTAAAACAAGTCGCCCAAATGCTGAAACCTGCTCTGAGGGGTAGGCAGGGAGGGTGTCATGTATTTGTCAGGTAAGTATATTCATAAAATTTGAATTTATTTCAAATTTATGAATTTTATTTCATCTAACTTACCTGACAAATACGTATAGAATATACCTGATTTCTAAGCAATCCTTAAAAAAGGAGTTGGGAACAACAGAGTGTAAGCATTAAACTCATCTAATATACCTTGTATTAATAACCTCCACAAAGGTTATATCAAACCTTGTAAAAACCATACCCGAAAAAACTCGCCGGGGAAAGAAGATTAACCTTCTTAAACATATATACACCTTGTACCAATCACATATATATTATATATCCAACACCTTGTGGCTTGTACCAATAACATATATACACCAACACCATTAACTCATTATATTACTACATGTATGCTTATCCTGCAAATAGAATTTTATGAAAGTTGATGAATCCGACCAATCCGCACTCTCTAAAATGCGTCTCATTGAAAATCCCTTAAATAATGCCCAAGATGGCCCAACAGAACGGGTTGAATGAGCATGTACCTTAACCATATCTGGATAGGCTATCTTTATTGTTTTCACTATCCACCTGGAAAAAGTCTGAGTGGATACTGGTAAATGCGGTCTGGTGTAACTGAGAAAAACGTTTGTACTATTTACACTTTTTTGTGCTCTAAAAGGCTCTGTCAATTTTAAATAGTATTTGAAAGCCCTCTTCGGATCTAGTTTTTTATTTTCCGAAAAAGACGGGATAAAAATGATAGGCTCCTCATGGCCAATTCTTGCCTGTTTAGACAACCCACATCTTATAAACTGTAAACCTTGAGCCAGGACATTTACATTGCCTTCTCCTAATCTTAAAGAATTAAGGTCACTACACCTACGATAAGACGTGATGGCAAATAAAAACACTGTCTTGAAAGTAACAAACTTTAAATTTGCTTTGTGCATAGGTTCAAAAGGTGGCTCTTGTAACACTAATAAAACCTTATTTAAATCCCATTCTGGTGCCAACCGTCTGGATGGAGGTCGAGTATTAAACATTCCCTTAAGCAGTCTAATAATTAAAGGATGTTGTCCGACAGGTATTTTGTCAATAGGTTCAAGGACAGATGATAGCATTGACCTGTAGCCAGCTATTGTTCTGTAATTTAAACCTTCATCGAATAATCCTGATAAGAACTCTGCAACTTGATTCAGAGATGCTGAAAAAGGATCAACCTGTTTCCGACTACACCAGCTATAGAATCTTTTATATTTTGAGTTGTAGTCCCTACAGGTTCCCGCTCTCCAAGAGGCTGAGAGCAAGTCCCTAGTTCTCGAAGAAAAGCCTTCCTTTTCGAAACGTTTGTTGATAACCTCCATGCCACCAGCGACAGTGTTTGTGGATCTGGGTGATAAACCACTGGGTGGTGTCCCTGTTGTAGTAGGTCTGTCCTGTTGGGTAATCGAAAAGGAAGATCGACCAGACAACCGAGAAGGTTTGGAAACCATATTTGTCGCGGCCAGAATGGGGCTATCAGGATCATTTCGCAGTTCTGACACATATTGAACTGTTGAAGTACTAATGGGACTAGACAAACTGGTGGAAATGCATAGGCTGACATTCCCTCCCAACTGATTGTCAACGCATCTATTGCTAGAGCTTTGGGATGAAACTTCCATGAACAAAATATTGGAGCCTTTCGATTGCTCTCTGTGGCAAACAGATCGATTAACGGGCGGTCCCATTTCCAAAAGATCTTTTGAACAGTGTCCTGATTCAGAGACCATTCCGTTGCTCGCATCATGTTCCGGCTCAATGAATCGGCCAGTGTGTTTTTGACCCCTGGAATATGCACTGCATTTAAGATTATCCCATTTGACAGCGCTAAATTCCAGAGATTCCAAGTTTCCTGACATAAAAGCAGAGAACGGGTCCCGCCCCGCTTCTTTATGTATTGGACTACTGTTGAATTGTCTGATTTCACTAGAACCCCCCTGTGTCTCAAATGTGGTAAAAAATACTCCAGACACAGATAAACCGCTCTCATCTCTAGAAAGTTTATGTGGTGATTTAATAATTCCTGAGGCCAAATCCCCTGAACAAATGGTCCTCTCTCTGCGAGGTGTCCACCCCAACCGATCATCGACGCATCGGTCGTGAGAGAAACCGTGCACTGCATGGGTTGCAAAAATTGACCATTTAGAATGTTTAGATCCTGCAACCACCAACTTAAGTGTACTACCAGGTCTTGAGAAAAAGGGATTGGAGTATGCATACTCATTACAGAAGGTCTCCAGTTTCTCAACAAATACATTTGGATTGGTCGCATAAACAGTCTTGCGTTTGGTATAATCTGCAATGCTGAGGCAATCATTCCCAAAACCCGAAGATAGTCCCTGGCTATTGACATTGGACGGAAAATTTGTTTTATCCCTAAAACTAACAGGGCTACCCTCTCTTGAGTGGGAAACACCAAGCCTGCATCCAAATGGAATTCGGTACCCAGATACACAATTCTCTGGGCCGGAACCAGTTCGGACTTCTTGATATTTATGACAAACCCTAGTCGTATTAAAAGATCCAACACCACCCTTTTGTCTCTTAGCAGGACCTGTCTCTGCCGATTTACTGCTAATAAATCGTCTAAATAAGCTGCCATTCGGACATTCATGAAGTGAAGGTGGGCCACAACTACTGACAACACCTTCGTAAATACCCGTGGGGCTGATGTTGGGCCGAATGGCAACGCCTTGAATTGGTACGCCTGACCGTTTACACTGAAGCGTAGATATTTTCGGTGCTTCTGAAAAATGGGGATGTGAAAATAAGCGTCCTTCAAATCTATGGATATTGCCCAATCCCCTTTCTGCACTACTGATGTCAAGACTTTCAATAATGTGTCCATCTTGAAATGAATTTTTTTCAAATATTGATTGAGCGGTTTCAAATTGATTACTGGTCTCATTTCCCCATTTTTCTTTGGGACCAGAAAAAGTGTGCTGTAAAAACCTGTCATTGCTTGAGAAGAAGACACAGTTTCTATTGCCCCTTTTTTTAATAAAGTGGCTATTTCTGCCAAAATAATATCTGAATTTTTTTCTCTTAAAATTGTTTGTTTTATCCCTAAAAAGGGTGGTATTTGTACAAATTCTAGTTTGTAGCCTTCCTCTATTACTGATAATACCCAGATGTCTTTCGTTATCAACTTCCATTCCTTCAAAAACAATGACAGGCGACCCCCGACAGGAATGTCTGGTCTCAACTTCAAACTTACCAAGTCACTGTCTGGGAAAGGAGGGCTTTTTCCCTGTTCCTTGACTGTTACTCGTGACTGTGGCTGACGGTTTTCTAAAACCTCTACCCTGATCGTCTGTACGGTGCCCATATCTTCTGCTATTTCGTTCATAGGAACGAAAGGAATCATTATTATGGTTATAGTTTTTTGAAAAATTAGAGTTCGTATTATTCTGACCCGATGTTCGTGGGCGTTTTGAGTTATGGCTTTCTTCCATTGGGGCTCTACGTTTTTTTGCAGAAAAAGGTAAAATGTCTGCTACAGACTTTAACTTTTCTTTTCTCTCTTTTAGAGTTTTCTCTAAGTCTACCCCGAACACCCCATCCGCTGTTAAAGGTAAATTAGAAATTGTTCTAGCATTATCTAATTGAAACAGTGAAGTGTCTGACATGGCTACCGTTCTACGAGTCATATGGTGGAATGCACCTGTTCGACCTAATTGATCCAGGCCCTTAGTCGACATAGCAAAAATATCTTTAATACGAGATACTATATCTGCCTTGTCAAACTCCTTGTCTTGCACAACTTCCAACAAAAAGGCTAAATTTTGTTGTAAATACAACTGAATGATAATCCCTAAATAAGCGGACTGCTGTCCTCTAAATGCCATTTTCTCCAGCATTTTAAACGGCTGAGAAAAGAGGAAGGCTCCTGACTTGGTAAAAGCTGCCTTGTTCCCAAATTTTTTAACTAGACAGGATTCGACTAGCTCATCTAATGATGGCACCTTTAAAAACTCTTGTGTCTCTTTTGACACAGAGAAAGTCTGAAAATTTTCTTCAGAAAAAGCTGAAACATTACTGGGATTAGCAGCCCTCCAGCTCTGGAGTAAAACTTCCTTCTGACAGCTGTCTAGAGTAATCCCTTGTGTATTGTCCTCTGATGCTTTAGTCAGGGCATCCTTGCCAAACAAATCAAAAAGCCCTTTATTAGTACTCTTTGAAAAATCCGAAGACAGTTGTGGATCCAAACGAAGCATCCCTGATTCGTCCTCACTAGTCAGAGTTTCCGTCTGTCCCGGTTGAAGGGAAATGAGGTCTTCGTCCTCACTAGAAACTATCATGGCTGATCGCCTTCGTGGCGAAACTGCATTATTTCTCGATAATCGTTCAAGTAATAAATCAAACTTTTTTTCTAAATTTGATACCTTATTACTTGTACTAAGACGGCCTCTACCGTCCGTTCTACAACTACTCGATGATTTATTACCAACCTTTGATTCATCGGGTTCAGATTCAGAATCCGATCTTTCTTTCGAAATATTATCCATCGTAACAACGATTGTTGCTAAGTCAAACAACTAAACTAAAACACGTGTGACTTGTTTTATCGCCGAGAAAGAAGTGATGGGTGTTTGCGCACTCACTCAGGTAAAGGAAGTTATGAGTGCGCATGACTGCGCTACTTCCGGTTTTTGTTTTTACCGGAAGTGGCGAGTTTGTGTGACAAGCGAGAATAGATATTCTATACGTATTTGTCAGGTAAGTTAGATGAAATAAAATTTACAAACCTGCGGTCTGGTATTCTATGTGACCATTATAATTTTTTTTAAAAAAATATCACGGCTAAAGCACTCTGTTGATGCTAACGTCACTACATCTAACTGAATGTCGCTGATATAATATCAAAGAAAGAATTTGTCGCAATGACTAAAGTATAGATACTTCTTCTTAGTTAGTTGTATTTTACGTCCGCTTCCACCGAAGTGATATCGCAGACAAAAAGTATAGATAACTTGGAGAACCATTATATCAATAAGTCGATTATGAGATACACGTGGATGATCAATTAAATTTGATTGGTTACTTTTCAGTTAACCAATACTGTCCAATTTCGATTACATCAACCAATTACATTATTAAGAGTTTTACTCATTTCTTTTGTTCATTGCACATTGAATCAATTTTCGAAAACACCAGGGTGCTGAAAATCACATGTACACTATATATTCATTTGGTCTATCAGTTTATTGGGTCAATAAAAAAAGACAGACATTTTAACTATACAGACAACTTAACACCAATTAACATTCAAGTCTGTCTGGCAATTGTCTGATTAATTGGTACTCACTCCCTTCCAGTGAAGAACAGTATGTGATTTTCGAGATGTGAATTAAGCCCTTTATTACTTTTCTTAAAACTTGACGACTCCCAAATTCAGACTTTGTATGGAGTTTTTTTCTTAAAAAGAAAACAAATCGTGGAAGGTACACGTTACTTGTGTTAATGATATGAAAAAACACACAAGATTTTATAAATCGACACAAGTTTGTGTTAATGCAATGCAAAACAACACATAACTTGTGTAGATTAGTTTTAACACAAGTACTTGTGTTGAGATCCAACACAAGTGTTTTTTCAGTGTATATAAGATAGATATTTTGAGTATCACCGGGCCAGTTGAATATTATTATACATGATTTAACATAGTAATGATAATCCAACGGTAAATTGAACCTAGCCTTTAAACATTATCAGAAAAGAAATTATATTATTTGCCTTTAGTTTTTTCATCGATTAATTAATTAAATTAAACGTCCAAGGCTAATCGGATTATATTGTTCGGTCCATATTTTATTTTTGAAACATTTCCAAAATGGTATAAATTACTTTAATTAGCCCTTTATAATTTTTAAACAAGGATTGGTGTCGTATAGAAGGATTACCTTTAATTATCTTAGAGATCTCATTAGTGTCGTGTTCGTATCCATCAGGTATGTCAATCCAACTTTACGCCATGTGATTACCATGCACGCGCTACCTTAGCAACCGTTCATTTACAGCCATTGTGAATCATGATCAATCTAACGGTGATATCATGACAACTTCATATTAAAGTATATATATACTTATACGCATTCGATATATCATGTGATTGTATTCTGACATATTGGATTTAAGTGAATAAGGTGAGAATTTTAAAATGTCTTTTTGTTAACGAGGTCCCAGTTTCTAGTAATCTGTATGGGTACCTTTTATAATAGACGGTGTTATACCCTGCGAGATAATCGACCACAGGAAACTATGATCGGTATAATAAACAAGGTGATTGTGTTAGCCATGTATGTAAATATACATTATCAGCCCATGTAAATATAAATAGGGTAAAATTTTACTTATGAATATTGGCTTATATACCTGTACATGTAAACTGGATTACAGTTAATCCACACAAGTCATCATTAATCTGCTACATTTTATCTTTCTGTTTGATTTTATGTCGGGTAGTTAATATTCTCAGGTGTAGGTAAAAAAAATATATATTCCCAGGTCCAGTCACAAATTGACCCAAATATTGATTTTCGCGTGGCAGGGTTTAATAATTTACATTCGATTATTGATCTGAGTAATAGGTTAAAATATAAGATATATATTCCCAGGTCAAGTCACAAAATAGCTCCCCAAAAATCCCAAAATATCTATGATTTTCCTTCTTTTTAAATATTTTTATTCGATTATTGATCAATGATTGTGGTTTGCACAATATCCTTAGGTAAGACATCTAGATTTTCGATGTAATTGGAAAACTGTCACAAAAAACAAATTTTTAATATAACAAAGACCCCTGCTAAATGGCCACAATATTTAGCTTTTCGCGTAGTTGGGTTATTTTGAGAAAAAAAAATATGTTACATTTTATGGTTGATCAAAGAAGAAGGGTCATGTGAAAAGTACATGTAGTAACCTTTGTTAAAACCCCTATAGAAAACCATTAGCGTTTGTTACAATGTGTGTATGTTTGGTGTGATAAATAAACTATTATGGATTAAGTGTTCATTCATAACAGGTTCAAAATTAATTCCCTGCGCAAATAAATGTATGAACCCGGATCGTTGGTTCATCTACAAGGTTATGCGTACCTTTTCAAACTTATTATATGTATGATTATGCCTCAACGTTAAGTTTGATGCATTTGAAAGTACAAAGACCCCTGTCTATCATTAATGTTAGCATATTGATTGCTTGTAAAAGGATCTTTCCAAGTTTTTGAATATTAAGCCCACCTTTTGATGTTAATACTGTTTTTGATTTCTGTGTGTAAGCAGATATGTGAATATTGTACATTAAAGTCATATATGTGTTCATAATACGAAGTATATTAGGTCAATTCAACTTACAAAAGATCTTGAATGAAAAGCTATAGATTTTGTGTGTGTATACGAACATGTGTTTAACAACATTGAGGGAACAGGGAAGGGCACACTAAAGGTATAAAGGTGTATTCATATATTATGATCTTTATTACTGTTTAATAAACGATTTACAGTTCATAAATAAACATGAATTGTTAGCCTATTGATAAATAGATATTTATTATACAATGTGTCAGAATGGAGTCTATATTATGATATGTTCATACAAACAAATACTGTCATACTATGAACCAGGAAATGCCAGAAGTTAACTCATCGCAGCCATTTTGCAAAATCAAATATTCATGTCAATCGCACTTAAATTGGCGGAGTCTTGGGCTTTCCCGAAGAGCTGCACCCCCAAAGCAACAAAAAAAAAGAACAATAAGCGCTTAGGGGCCATTTCCGGATCAAAAAAGGCCTTTCGGTAAATAGTGACCTTGCATAAACAAAACAAAAAATCGCGCAAGACTAACGATCTTTCAAAATATTGAAACCTTTATTTCTGAGAATGTATACCTCGTCATTGTTACTTATTGTAACTAACTTATAGGTGACATAATCTTAAGTATTAATACATTAACAGAACACGATTTATATGCGAAACAATCCCTGATTTTATTATAAAACACGACGTTTCGACACATATCCTCTTATCGTAATCTTGCGCAGTGAAGGGAAATAATATAAACAGGGCTGATTAGGTTATTCCCTCTTTTTGACGAAATACAACAGATTGTAGGCTGCACACGGGCATGTACATAATACAGTAGCGGTGCCATAATTTTCAGATGAAATACTTAATTCAGAGAACGTCCCCGAGAAGGAATACAAAATAAATGATTTTGTGAGTCGCCATTGTACAACTTCAATTAGACATATCATATGAAGTTAAATCACATTTATATCACAATTTTAAACATACATTATGCAAGAGCTAAATCTGCCTATTGTAGGTCTTTCTTTAGGTCTGAAATGTTATATAAACTATTAATTAGACATTAATTAACGTATCCAGACCATAATCAACTCTCGATGTCAACGCTAGCCTGCGATAATTGTTGGATTATGATCCAATTTGCTGCATAACTTTCCTTCTGGATTTAACGATTAAATGGACAATCGAGACTATGATTTTTGTCGTACCGATTTTAGTAATGATGACCGAGGCTATGCGGAACTTTCGATCGCTTATTTCTGGGTTCATATGTGGATCAATTTAACAGAAATTTTCAGCAAATTGCCTTTACATTATCTAGTTTTTAACTATTATAGTGGTCTTTTGGAGATTTGAGTTGTCCTAAATTAACCAGAGTATTAATGATACTAATCCGCCTTGGTTTTATGGCTGCCAACCTGTCAATTATTCGGTCAAATTATCCCAATCAATATCAAGTCCGCCATATAGTACCCACAAAACCCCCACGTGACGCCCCTACTGACGATATTTGCATTTGGCCTGGATATAGTTAAACAAGTGTTCTATTGGACACGAAAAGATCATGTGTATCTGACGTTTTAGAACAATAAAGTCGCTATTGTTATGTATGGACGTGTAATTGAAAGAACACAGGGTCTATAATTACACGTAATATTTTTTCAGTGTAGATACAAAATTTAAAGTACACGTATTGTCTAGCTGCGTGGTTGGTTTGGAAAGACGTCAGACAATAATCAATATCTTGTTTCAATCAATCATTGGATTTATTGATTTTTAATTATCAATCCTTTGGTCAATAGAAATATTTTTATAGGTTATTTAAGGACTTGTCTTTGTGATCTATAATATTTTATGCTCTGATAAGAACGTCTTAAAAGAAGGACAAATGTAATTTACTGGTGGCTTTATTCTAGCTAGTCAACACTTCACCCATCAAAGAAGAATTACCTGCCAAACACATTAAACAAATACAAGTACATGTACATGATATACAGTTTTCAAATTCTTTAAAAATCCTCATTTTTTTGTTTTTTATCCTCGACATTGAAATTTTGAGCAAAATTCAATTTGATTTTCGAGTAAAAATCCATTAGATTTTTCGAGTAAAAATCCATTAGATTTTTCGAATAAAAATCCGTTAGATTTTCAATGACATTTTCGAGTAAAAATCAATGATATTTTCGAGTAAAAATCAATGATATTTTCGAGTAAAAATCAATGATATTTTCAAGTACATATCAATTACACTTTCGATAGAACTATTTTTCCCACTATTTTCTTTATCGATTATTTCGAGATATCCGTTAAATGGGCATTATGGGCGATTAGATAAAGAGCTTGCAGTTATCACAATACTAGTTAAAAACTAGATAATGTAAAGTGAATTTGCTGAAAATGTCAGTCAAATTGATCCACTCTGAACCGAGATAATAGTTTTTGAATTTTAGGCCTAGCCTCGATCATCAATACTAAAGTCGGTACGATAAACAACATAGTCTCGACTATCCAGTTTTGGATTAAATCATCAATGTCGACAATGAGCGTTGAGCAGCAAATCGGATTCAAATCCAGTAAATATCGCAGGCTAGCGATGACATCGAGACTTGATTATGGTTTGGATAAGTTAATTAATGTTTAATTAATAATTTATATAACATGTCAGGCCTAAAGAAAGACATGCAGATTTAGATCTTGCATAATGTATGTTTAAACATGATTGTTGTATGATTGTTGTGACATAATCAGATAAGTCCACCAGTGAATAATATTTGAAAATTTGTGCTGAAAGTTACATCCGTAACTAATAGACATTAAAGGGGGCGATTTCTTTTGATTGCTGACACTTTTTCAGGCATATTGTGTTTATTAATAATATAGTATTAATACCGTCGTAATGCAACAATGTGTAATTGGTAATACAAGTACTTTGTTTGGGTTGTTTACGGGGGGGGGGGGGGGTATCAGATTTATTTCATACCCCTCCAACTGGTGTTAATATTTAAAGAAACCTATACTAGAAGTATTAAGTATTAACAACTTATTTTTTTTTATATTTATGGAATGAACTTATCGTCGTTATTCCTGTTCGGTTTAGGGTATAACAAATTAGTTCAACTATGTCTCTTGTGAGATATATAAATACAATGTCTCTGGTCATAGGCTCGGTTTTCTCGCTGATCTAAGGAAAAATGAAATGAAATGGGGGTTTAACGTCCTACTGTTTTGCTCCGAACTATTGACCAGTCATAATTTGGAACCGAAAGTTGGTTACATTACAGCAGTGTTAGGTGGGATTAGTTCTAATCAAACGAAACACTGCGAGGAGTATTGTATATATTTGCTGACCAAATTAGGTAATATTCTTTTTCTAAGTCGGTGTGACCGTAACCATTGGGTTATTTGTCAATACAATTTTATCCTCACATTGAATACGTAACTAACCAGATAACTTACGCTAATACATGTATACACGGTTTTAATATCTCAAGTGGCAAGGCTAATTTATACAATATATGTGTCAAGTGTTCGAGACATTATATCAGTATAATGCTTCATGATGCAGGATTAAATCAACCTGTTATATATCTAAACTCTTGAACAGCGCGATGAAAATGAAATATTATATTGAACATAGAATGACTTGCCTAAATAATAAGTATACGGCTGTTAACTCATACTGTCTTTAATGAAATGAAATGGGATTTAACGTCCTACTATTCTGCTCCGGACTGGGCTAATGAAGATGGACATACGCCATACAGTGTGCTATGACGGAAATTTTGCCCGGACAGCGGCACTACGGCTTACTCTTATATCGAATTCCAACTGTCAATGT